CTCTGAAACCATTAAGTGCTATTAGGTGGGCAAGCAGAATAGATGCTTTAAAACCTTTACGATTTCAACTTTGCGAAATCTATGATGCATTGATTCTGATAATAGAAGACGTCAATAGAGACGCAGAAACTAAAGTTAAAGCGAGAGGGTTAGCAAAAAATATTAAAAATTACAAGTTTATATGTGGAGTAATTCTTTGGCATGATATTTTGTTTGAAATTAATTCAGTTTCGAAGCTTTTGCAATCTGTTACTATAAATATATCAGATTGTGTAAGGATGCTATCAGAAACCATAAAAAAAGTGAAAAGTTATAGACAATCTGGATATATTCAGATGAAAATTGCTGCAAAGGAGATAGCAGAGAATCTCGAATGCAGTACAGAATTTCCTGATGACACTGAAGTTAGACCCAGAAGGAAAAAGCTTCAATTTGACTATGAAAAAGCTGTCGATGAACCCTTAACAGAGGAGAAAAAATTTAAAATAAACTTTTTCAACTATATTCTGGACATTACCCTTAATTCTCTGAATGAACGATTCACGCTTCTGGAAACCCATAGCAAAAAATTTCAGTTCTTATATGACATTTTAAAACTCAAGGATATAGATGACAAAATGCTAGAAAATTATTGTTCCAGTCTTGAGTTTATACTTTCGGTTGAAAATGAAACAGATATAAATGCAAATGACCTTAGAGAAGAATTGCGTGATGTATCCAGAATGCTACCATATTCTACAAAACCTTTGGATGTTTTAAATTATTTATGCCTAAATAGCTTAATTAGTTTGTATCCAAATACTGTTGTAGCTCTGAGAATTTTATTAACTCTCCCTGTATCTGTAGCTAGTGGGGAAAGAAGTTTCTCCAAATTAAAATTAATAAAAAACTACTTAAGAAGTTCAATAGGACAAACAAAACTTAAAAATCTGGCATTAATTTCTATTGAATCTGCAATGGCTAGCACTCTAGACTACACATCAGTAATTAACGAATTTGCTAAAGTTAAAGTTAGAAGAGTAAAGCTGTAATACTGTACATTGTTGTAGTTTATAGTTGAAATCATTATTTTAAAATTTCAAAATAAAAAGTAGAAACTCGTACATTTTGTGCAGTGTTTTTTTAAATCACAATCGAAGGTTATTTTAAAGAAAAACATTTAAGGGGCGGCATTTCGAAGATTTGCCTCATAATGAGAAAATCTACCGCACGGGCCTGGTCAAGGTTATCAGGGAATCCGTACATTTGCTAACATTATGAACATGCCAACACCATTATCGTTTCCTGGATATCAATTAATAAATAATAAATTACATACTTTTTATAACGATGCAGCTTCAGAAAGCATGAGCAATGCAGCTTTAAAAACAAAGAGTTTACTTGCTACCAATACTTTTGATAACAATAGCATTACAAATTGCCAGGTCTCAGTTGATGGTACATAGCAAATGTCGCAGTTTGCTTCAAAGTATGAAGGGAAAAAAACTAAGTGATGGAAAAAAATTGAATGGGGCAGGAAGATTTACAGATAAAGTTATAAATAAACTTCAAAATTATTATGGAATGGCAATTAGGCAGAATAAACTATTATACCCAATAAAGAAATCTGTTTGGGCTGTGTTATTTCATAATAGTAATATAAGTAATCCCATCGAACGCCATCAGTTCTGCCCTCAATCCAAAAACAGTTGGTGCTTGTGGTAAACAGATTGATTTAATGATCAAAACAAATACAAACCCACATTAAATATACCATTGTCAATCAAAGCTGTTCCCAATTTTATCATGATCTTTCAACTGATGAGTTACTTTCCAAATTTTTACACAGACAAACCCAAAACAACAATGAAGCTTTAAATTCTATAATATGGAAAAAATACCCTAAAAATATTTTTGTTGGAAAAAAGGTTTTGGAGGTAGGAGTTTCATCTGTAATACTACAGTTTAATGAAGGTGCTACTGGTATTTGCAAAGTTTTTGAACGTTTAAAAATTCCTGTCGGAATCAGAACGAATCAGAAATATGAGGAGAAAATCATCAAAAAAAGGAATGCAACAAAGAAAAATCCTTAAAAATATAGGAAAAAGTTACTCAGACATTGAAAATGAATCAGAAAAACTACCAGCTTATTCTATTGGTGGTTGTTTTAAATTTTAGCTTCGGAACATCCCTAATAATTAGTAGTTTTCTACTAATTGTTAAAATAAACACTTGAACAATCTGACCAGTCCTAACATGAGATCTGGACAAAATGCGGTTAAATATAAAAATATGAAGGATTGATTTAATTTCACTTTTATTTCATTACAAATTTAATTCTTTACATGTATTAATAAAACTTTTTTGAATCTAGTTATAATTAAAAACAAAAAGAGGTAAAGGCGAAAAATAACGAATATTTCCATTATAAATACAATTTATAGGTTTGCATTTTTGGATTTGCATCCAGATGAAAGTAAATACTTTATTGTAAATCATATTCGAATGGAGAGAATACCAAAATCTCCTAGATATTAAATACTAACTAGAAAGGAGAACAACATAGGATCAAAAAGAAAAGTTAAAAATTGTCGCAAATCAAAAAAGTAATATACAAATCAGATAGTGCCTCTTTAAAAAATCGATTGATCAAAATGATGGTATTTTATCGCGTGGTCTTGCAAACGATTGAATGTATAATATGCAAAACTACTAATAAAAAAACTTCGTTGTAATAAAAAGTACCAAAATGCAAAAAGCTGTAGATTGGTTTTGATTTTTTGGAAAAAAATAGTTTTTATTGATAATGAGTCGTATTTTTATTTAAGCAATACCAATAGTTCTGAAAACGCTGGATTTTATTCTTCTGACATAAATGCAACAAAAGGCAACAAAAGAGTCTCTCCGTATTATATTGGCCATATAGTCAATACAACATTCTCTCTGGTCATGTAGTCAATGAAAATCATTATATTTCAAAATGTCTTCTCAGGTTAAAGAAATTTATGAAAAAACAACGATAATTATTTCTAACCTAATCTCGCTTCGTCACATTATTTATAAAGTTAGCCCCTACCCGAAATATGAGGACAATAAGTTCAAAAAAACTTTTTTTGTTGCTATTTTATAGTAATTTAAATTCATCGACATTTTCATCGAATAATCTTTTATTCTTTGAAAGTTATTATTATGCAAAGTTTACAACCCCCTTATTTTGGGGAGGTTGAAAACTTTATACAATTATATCTTTCGAACATTAACAGGTTATTAGTTGAGAATTAAAATCTGTTCTTCTAATTCTCAACTAATAATAAATAATATTAAAAAACTAATAATAAATAGAAAAAATAACAAATTAATAAAGATTCGGGGTATTCTTGTTTCCATACTCCAGTGAATTGAGCCGAACCATTGCAGTTTTTAAAATATTTTATTTAATATTTTTTGATATATTTAATAAATTTATATAGTAGACAAACAAGTATAAAGTTTTACATAATACAGGTATACAGTTTAGAACTTTATTCTTCTATGTCTATATTTGATTCCATATTTTCCCATTTTGGTCTTTTCTCCCATTAAAGCTAGTGAAACTGGTGAATTAATGATAATTTCCCAGCATGTGTTAATACTTTGTAAACCGAAGCTAGGACCTGGAACCAATCATATGTCTCTAGCAACTTCTCATATGTATGATTGCTTTATTTATCAATTTTTTAAAGATCAATTAGGTTTTTGCAATTGATTGCAATTAAAATATTATGTAATCTGATAGTAATTTTTTCATCGATTTCTAAAATTTTTCTGATTAATAGGGCATCAAAAAAAGCTCGTCAGCATAAATTTCCGGTATTACTAGTTCCTGATCCGCCAGCTCTTGGTTCATAAACTCTCAAACCAAATTCTTTAAACATTCTACAATGAATAATTTTTTTTCTCAATAAATATTGGTCTTTTAAAACCTTTTTTACTTTTCAAGTTTTTATTTCAATTTTATATGAAATATACAAAATAATTTTAAAAACCTAATCCAAGCATGTAGTGGTGAAACGCCACAACACAATGTTGCCCATTTGTAACAACTATTTCCTTAAAGATTTTTAGATTGCTCATCATGTTAGGTGTGGCATATCATCATGTTAGGTGTGGATGATAAATCGGACAGCATGGTGTAAAAACTCGATTCATCAAACTCTATTGTTGGTAGACTTTTTTTTGCTGATTTATTTATTAAACCCACTTGGTTAGCTGATGATTCAGCTAAATCGTTAGTTTTTAAAACTCAAAGCCAAACCTAATTTCTACTATAAAATATTTCTTTTTTTCAGTATGATGCATGCCATTGTGCAACATATTTTGCAAGAGTTAGTATTAAACTCATATATATATATATATATATATATATATATATATATATATATATATATATATATATATATATATATATATATATATATATATATATATATATATATATATATATATATATATATATATATATACATATATATATATATATATATATATATATATATATATATATATATATATATATATATTATTGTCTTATTTTAAATTTATATTATACATAAACATGTAAGATAAGTTTTTAAACGAGAAAAAAAGTTGCTGTTGTAAGTAAGTCTACTAAGTGAATGAAAATGTTACTTATAAATATTATGACAGCCGTGGCGCAATGGACCAACGAACTACGAGGTTCAGGATTCGAAGGCGGTTCTAGCCCTATAAGCAATATTGGCAAGGAAGGAGGCGTAAACTTTCCAGTTAAATACATTCCCGCGGTGCATTGTGATAAGACCGTAAAAACCACAAAAAAAAAGAAAAATAAATCTGTATAATCTCTTTTCATTTTTTTGAATTGTATGTTTTACACAAATTATATGATTTTATAATGTAAGTTTTTAAATATAATTTATTTAATCAATATAAATAACTTAAGCCAATTATGTAAAATACAAAAATAAATTTATTACCAAAATGTACTAAAAATTTGAACTTGATTTTTTAATTAATAATTTACACAACTTTATGGTTCGAGCTATATTTTTTAAAGTATTATTTTAAAGCTTTTTATTTGGGCTTTTACCATACAATTATGTGAACTTGTATTAATCTATTAATTTGTCAATATAATTTTTTTCTATCTGATGAATTTTCATAAACATTTCCATTATAACAGAGCTTAGTAAATATGTTAATTAAGTTTTCTCCACACTTTTGATATACTTTTTGTGAATAAAGCAAACCATTAAAACAAAGTAAGGCGTCTATATTAAAGGCCTTTGAACCGCATCGTGGTGTGACTTGGTTTTTAAAACAAAAATGTGTTGCGTTATTATAATGAAAAGCGCCACATTTTGAATTAATAAATAAAATGTCTTTTTTTTCGCCATGCTCTTCGCCAAACATGCCCATTACTGCTGTATTTTTTCTTTCATTTAAGCTTTGATAAATTGACAACGTTGGATTATATATTAAGTTCATCATTTTACGATGCTGAGAGACCTGTAATGCAGGTGTTGGCGTTTCAATATTAAAGTGTGTGTTTCTTTCATTAGTAACAAAAACTTGAATACTTTGATCACTTTCAGTTGGAGTCCAATTCGGTAACAACGTCTTAGATGTAGGAATAGAAAAAAATAATAAAGATTTGTGGCTTTCCGAAGATGGAAAGTTATGATTAAATGACGATACTGTTGTTGCAACTGATGATGGAAAGTTATGTATTGGTGTATTGGATTCTACATTTTTGTAAATAACATTGTTGAAGCAAAAGTGTGTTTTTCTTCTAATAATCTTTTTACCACATAACTCAAACTTACTTTTACTATAAACACTCTCCACACAAAAATGAGTAGATGGTTCATAGATTTCTCCTCCACACAGTTGACTTACTTTTCCCATTTGACATGTTTGTTTAAATAGATCAAATATTTCATTTCCGCATATTCCATTTCTGATTCGGCTATATGTTTTTCCTTGATAGCAAAATTGAGTTTGAATTTTATACAATAATTTACCACAGATTCCAAAGTATGCTGTGTTGTAAGTTTTACCTTCGTAACATAACTGTTTAATAGGATCAAATTTTTGATTTCCACCTGAAAGAAGTTTTAAAATTAGTTTTTACTAATATTGTAAGTAAATATTATATATATATATATATATATATATATATATATATATATATATATATATATATATATATATATATATATATATATATATATATATATATATATTAGGACCCTGCGAAGCTTCGAAATTTCGAATCGAATCGAATCAAAAAAATGATTCGAGATGCAATTCAAAAATTTTCAAAAATCGAATCCTTACTTTATTTGTTTTTGTTGTGGGTATTTTAGATATTCTACGCTTAGGCGCTATCGAAATAACGTTACTTAACCTTTTTAATCAGTCATTAAAAAGGTTAACCAGGACAAGAAGTATCAATAAAGAAATTATAAAATTTTTTTGTTTTATTTTATTTTGAAATATGTATTATTAAATAAAAAAAGCTTAAATTTAGACTTCAAACTGTCGATTCGAAACGTGATTCGAACCGTGAATCAAGACCTGCTTTGATTCGAGATTCGATTCGAAACAAAAACTGCCGATTCGCAGGGCCCTAATATATATATATATATATATATATATATATATATATATATATATATATATATATATATATATATATATATATATATATATATATATATATATATACTATATATATATATATATATATATATATATATATATATATATATATATATATATATATATATATATACAAGTTTTATTAAAATAATATAATTAAAATAATTAAAGTAGTTTAATTAAATTCAAGTTTTATTAAAACATTGAGCTTCTTATTTTAAAATAATTAAAGTAGTTTAATTAAATTCAAGTTTTATTAAAACATTGAGCTTCTTATTTTAAAATATATGTTATTTGGTTAACCGATTAGCTCAATGCTCATTAGATTAACAATTCAGTATGTTAACAAAGCAGTATTACGCAAATGTGTAAAAAAATCATACTTTTTCTGAACTGTCAAGCTCTCTACATGATAATTAGCATGTAGATGTGTCAATCTTAATGTAATGTTAATCTTAAAGCGCTCATAATCATAGTTTTTATTCTTCTTTTGAATTGAAGAACTATTTTAGACGGGCTCAGTCGCTTTACAATCTATTTAGTGGAAGCTCTATTCGATATAAAACTTTGACCAAGACGTCTGGTTTGTCCTTTCATCAAACCTCATAAACCCAATGGAGTACATGAATTGAGGCTGTGAAACTATATCTTGTTTCCCTTGCCAAAGATGAGCTTAATTACTTATAATTTTCAAATTAATCTTTGCTCGAGTCATATTCAACCTTTCCTTCAGCAGATTTAAATTTGAATTCCCTTAAAGCCAACTTTCTGTTTTCCAAAATACTAATGGCGAATTTAGAAATTTACCTTTAGTTTTAGAAGGTTAATAAATACAATTAATAAATACAATTAATTAAACAAAAATTAAAAAATATTTTCACTTTCAAGAGTTTAAACTTTCATTTTAAATCTTTTTAAACCATTTGAATTTACAGAAAATGAGTGATTATTGTTAGGCGTAAAAAGATACATATCACACGCTTGCAACAGTTTTTACCGAGTTTGTTAGTTCTTTTAAATAATGTGCTAAGGAACTTTTTTAAAGTTGGCACAATGTCGTTTCGGCAAAGTGCAAAATAATAAATCGAACTGCAGAGTGGTAATAACGTTATTTTTAATAGTTGCTAACCAAATTGCACCCATAAAATGAATAAACTAAAGAAAAACTTTAAAACGAACAAAAATAAACATACACGTTAAATGACTTCTTTCGTTTGGTGAGGACTGATTCTCTTCATCACCTAAAAAGTCATCATCTTCCTCCGTTAGATCAGCAGTTTCATAACTTTTGGAAAGTAAAATGTTGTTTGGTAAGACATTATTTATTAAACTATTTTGATGAAATTTAATATTTAAAGGTTCCTCTGGCAAATTGGTTATTATGCCACGTTTTAATAGACCGCCATTTCTTGATGGATCAAGTGTTGATAACGGATTTATTTGCGACTTAAATGCAGCAAACCGATTTTCAACTATATTTTTATCATTTAAAAGGTTTACGGTGAGCAAAGATCTTTGCATTTTGTTAGGTACTTGTTCTAACTGATTGTACCAAATGTTGCCTTCGACATTACCATATACTACAAAAACCATCATGCAAAAACAAATTGTTGTAACCAACGTTCCTTAATTAGATAATTTTTGTTATTTTTTTAAAGGTAATTCAAAAGCAAAATAAAAAAATGTAGGAAATATTTTTCCATACTTACCTGCAAACTTCATAATAAGTTATACAATTTTTAAACTTTCTATTTTTAATAAGAATAAAAATTTTAAAAACCACCTACAAAACATCTAACTTCTACATAATAAATTACCACCGTTGCTTTAAAACTCTAATTCAACAAAAAAGCTTATCATGCTGTGCGCGGTTGTTCAAGAGTGAGCACCTATTATTGGCATGCGCAGTGTTTTTTGAAAATAATTTGCTAAATGAAATAGTTAATTTGAAATTGTTAAGTGAACTTTTCTTAAATTTAGTTTAATTTAAGATTAATTAATAAAAAATTAATATTCAAGAAGACGCCCAAAAACGAAGAGCAATAAAATTACCTAAATAACTTCATTTTGTTAGCCTCAATTGGGTTGGAGAAGTATTTCCAATACGCCTAAATGCACGACGTTAATTTCACTCGTCAATATAAGTTCACTCATGAAATAAGTTAACCGAGTTTACTGTAATTAGTCTGTTGTGAGATACAGTACAAGTGATACAGTGAGATACAGTATCAAAGCATTTGGTAAAATCAAGATAAATTACAACAATAGATTGATGCAAAACAATAGATTGAAATACTAATGAAAACAAAATATTGATGCTAAAAAAACAATAGATTGAAATACTAATGAAAACAAAATATTGATGCTAAAAAAACAATAGATTGAAATACTAATGAAAACAAAATATTGATGCTAAAAAAACAATAGATTGAAATACTAATGAAAACAAAATATTGATGCTAAAAAAACAATAGATTGAAATACTAATGAAAACAAAATATTGATGCTAAAAAAACAATAGATTGAAATACTAATGAAAACAAAATAATATCAAGTCTCTATTAGATTACTCATGTTAACGGGATTTTACTATATACGATTTTCCATTGTTTTTTCATATGAAGAAAAAACACAAATAATTAAATAATGTAGAAAAAAGAAATAAAAATTAAAATATTATAAGATTTGCACATTTGATACAAGTATGTCTCTAAATTTGAATCATTTCTAACTTTTTCACTACTCTATTTGAAATTCATCTTTTTTCTCATCGTTTGTATATTGAAAGTGTAGAAGAACTGAAAAAATTCCTCCGCACAAAAGTAAAGCTGAGTTCAATAAAAACATTTGCGTGATTCCGTGTGGTGAATGGCTGTCGTGTAAAATAAGAAGCACAGCGCTAGCAATAATATTCAATGGAACCCTAAACAAATTCATTATATCTGAATGTAGAGCAGGGGGAAGCCATTTTGAGCGTAAAGATCCCATTGCTGGAAAATATATTCCACATAAAATTTCAGTAACTAAAAATAACAAAAAGGATGTTCTAGGATGATTTGCTGATGCTAAAGCAGCTAAAAAATTTGTCAACATAACGCCATAGACAACAAATAAGACAATAATCGTAGGTTGTATATCTTTTTTAATTAAATTCGTAAAAATAATACCACCAATCCAAATTGAGCACATAAAGCAGGAGAAAACAATACCTAATGGTGGATCTGCTGGCTGAAGAACAGGAGTCCACAAAAACACAAATATATACATTACACTTTCAAACATAGCTTGGACAGAGCCTATTAAAAAAATACCAGGTGTAGTAAAAATTACTTTTAAACTA